CCATCGTCCCTTTGATGCGGTGAAGTTGTCCTGTCCCCTTAGCAGAAAAACACCCCCAAACCATAATATTTCCACCTCCATGTTTGACGGTGGGGATGGTGTTCTTGGGGTCGTAGGCAGCATTCCTCCTCCTACAAACACGGCGAGTTGAGTTGATGCCAAAGATCTCTATTTTGGTCTCATCTGACCACAACAATTTCACCCAGTTATCCTCTGAATCATTCAGATGTTCATTGGCAAACTTCAGACAGGCATGTAAATGTGCTTTCTTGAGCAGGGGAACCTTGCGGGCGCTGCAGGATTTCAGTCCTTCACGGCGTAGTGTGTTACCAATTGTTTTCTTGGTGACAATGGTCCCAGCTGCCTTGAGATCACTGACAAGATCCTCCCGTGTAGTTCTGGGCTGATTCCTCACCGTTCTCATGATCATTGCAACTCCACGAGGTGAGATCTTGCATGGAGCCCCAGGCCAAGGGAGATTGACAGTTCTTTTGTGTTTCTTCCATTTGCGAATAATCGCACCAATTGTTGTCACCTTCTCACCAAGCTGCTTGGCAATGGTCTTGTAGCCCATTCCAGCCTTGTGTAGGTCTACAATCTTGTCCCTGACATCCTTGGACAGCTCTTTGGTCTTGGCCATGGTGGAGAGTTTGGAATCTGATTGATTGATTGCTTCTGTGGACAGGTACCTTTTATACAGGTAACAAGCTGAGATTAGGAGCACTCCCTTTAAGAGTGTGCTCCTAATCTCAGCTCGTTACCTGTATAAAAGACATCTAGGAGCCATAAATCTTCGTGATTGAGAGGGGGTCAAATACTTATTTCCCTCATTAAAATGCAAATCAATTTATAACATTTTTGACATGCGTTTTTCTGGATTTTTTTGTTGTTATTCTGCCTCTCACTGTTCAAATAAACCTACCATAAAAATTATGGACTGATCATTTCTTTGTCAGTGGGCAAACGTACAAAATCAGCAGGGGATCAAATACTTTTTTCCCTCACTGTATATACTCAGGTGTTATTGCCAAATTAATGAGTGTTTATTTTATACCTACGTGACTCTACCGAAAGAACCAAAGAATATAGATGTTTACATGCGGGAGGAAAACAGAGCACCCGAAGAAAACGCATGAGTGCGGGGGTCGGGGCAATAATGTATTTCATGCAGACGGAAGAAGTGGAGTCCACATTTGCCAAACCACCTTCTCCTGGTGAGCCAGGGTATGGTACCTCGAAATCAGTGGGAAGGGAATATGACAACATTTACGCGAGTCATCGACCCAAGGTGAAGACCTGTCTACACCAATGTGACAAACACAAGATTCTACACGTCTGCAACCGATCTCATATCGCAGGCCCACACCAAATGTGTCATAATTCCATCTCCCCTTTGGTTGTCTGTTCACATGCGCTGCATCACTACCTCGGTTGGTTTTATCGAACCAGCTGTCCGACTTTAACAGCCTCCGCGTTATTCAAACTGTGCGTCGTAGTGACTCAACGTTATTCTGGTTGATGTGTAACGGGTGATATCTTTAACCTGCGAATTAATGTTCTCTAATCCACTGGGCTCCTCTTGCTGTCTCTCAATGTAATTCCAGGGGGTGCGTCTCTCTCTCCATGCTTCACGCAAGTCACAGGCAACGTACTGAATGTTAATAAAAAAAAATAAGCGGGGCTTGGGCAGGGCATATGGCTTGGAAAGGATGATGAACAGTGGTAGAGAGGCAGTCAAAGGAGAGAACATGCTCGAGAGAACGTCCACAATGGATACGGAGCAATGAAATAATTTTGTCTGAAGCAGCTGGGTGGATTGTTGCATCACGAGACCGTGAGAAACGGCTATGGCTTGGGTAGGCCTTCATCCAGCACCGGATAGAACATGGCTAATGATGATGATGCAATGGTTGGCATTGTGCACCAATTAAAGTGTTCTTCCTGGTTCAGCAGTTCTACTGCTGGATTAGTTTTTCCGCCTGAGGATGATCGCTTGCGTTGCGATCGAAACGTCGTGATATATTATTTTGTATTTTATTTTTCTACCTACGTGACTTTACCAAAATAACCAAAGAGTATCTCGTTTCAGATTCCACCTCGGAGGGGGGGGGGGGGTCAAGATTTGAATATTATATTTACTTGTGTTTTCTTTGCAACTGTACCATTTACCTGTGCCATCTCATCTGTATTGCCTTTTTCATTTGTACGGTCAACTTCATTCTGCTCGTTTTGAAAACTCATTTTTTGCACAAAGCGAGCACCACAAGCGCAATCATAGTCAGCCATGATCAATCCACAGCTGCATGAAGGCCTCACCGACCCGTCACCATCTCTCACGGTCCTGCGATGTTGCAATCCACCTAACACCACCTGCTCCAGAGGCGATTGCATCGCTCCATCTCCGCGGCGGTGGCGCAAAAATCATTGAGCGCCCACGACCAACTACAGTTTGCTCTCAATAGCAACATCCACTTTCTCCGCCACGCACTGATGCTCCTGCTGATTTCATTACTGCAGTCCAGATCGATGTCAAACATTTGTCCTGCTAGACAAACACTGCTGCACTCTCCATATTTTATTTCGATTATATTATGTATCACAATTTAGAGCCGTTGAGGGTACAGCTGTTACTGGCATATGCAGAGGCGTTCGGCTTTACAATTTCGCAGGGCTGAAAACTAATCCACCGCTGGATGACGGCCTCCCCAACGTCTATGTTAGACCATGTCGGTGTCGTTGCTGCTGCTGCTGCGAACAATGACATTTTTAGTTCATTGCACAGATCTATTTTATTTCACTAAAACAGAACTTGCATCCTTCTCTCGGCCTCCACTGTGAGAGATATTTGTTGTCTCGATGGGCTGACATCATCATCGCCGGCCATGATCGACCCACGGCTGAATGAAGGCCTCCCCCAGAGCTGTCGCCATCTGGCCATCGAACAAAGATGGTCAGTACATCGCGTGCTTTCAAATGCACTTCTGCAGCCGTCTGGAATGCTTTTCCTTCCGATATTAGGAAGCCACTGGTAGATGTGCACCTTTTAAATAATCATCATTTAGATTTAACTAATTTATTTAGAACTGCTTGTCGTGTTTAGTTTGTCGTCCTTCCTCTGATTAGTACAGTTGGCTATTTACACGGTGCAAAAGACGTTCAATATAAACTTCTTCGGGTCGTGCGACGTGACAATCCACCCGACCCCTGCGCCCTTCATTGCGATGTGGCTATCCCCAAACCCTTCTTCTTACAACAAAGCCCCGCGCGGCACGCGAGACCGGGCGCCGACAGTGACGTGACGAACGTTAGCCTGGCACCGGCGATTGAGCGCGGGGGTGGACTGGGTTTCCAATCCATGACCTTTCCTCCCGCAGCAAGCCACCCTCTGGGCGTCACTGCCACCGCAGTGAGGGCCCATCAGCCAAATGGTCGAATCATATCAACCATTTTATCTTCAACACAACCCCCCACCCCGCCCTGGATAATTTTGCTGTCCTTCTATCTGAATGCTTTTAATGTGGCTGTTTAAACCGACCATTGAATCATCACCGTTACCAACAGGCCGTGTAAGGGATTCACGGCCTACCTCGAAGATTGGGTGAATTGTCACAATTCAGGATCGCGATTTCATTCAAGAATCCACTACTTTTCCATCTCATTTTAATTCTCATTATATTCTCCGTAATTTGTTTCATTTCAGTCACAAACTTGTTACGTGCCGTCATGGGGCATTATGGGTGAATGCGTATGTTTAAGATGGACTCCGTTCTAGTCCGTATTTTACAGGCATATATTATCGAGCAGCATGTGTTTGGGAAAGCCAACTCCTGACCGGTATTTTCAACATTAGTCCGCCTGGTTAGCACTCAGAATGTCCGCCATATGCAAGGGAAGTGCAAGGAACCCTGGGAAATCCACGCAAGCCAGCGAGGCGGACATTTTGTTTTGCTCACAACTTTGGCGGCAAGGCCGGGCAAGAGTTAAGAAAGGGTTCCGCGTTACGGCGTCGGGCCGATGGGCCGGCGTGTCGTCCGGGCGTGGCCCCGTGCGAGCGGGCAGAGCGGATGGGACAGCTGGGGATGGCACGGGCGCCCCCACGCTAATGAACCCATCAGGACGGACAGGCCTATTTGTCAAATCACACCGCGGCGATCGATGGGGCATTGATCGTTTGCGCCGCTGAATTAACGGTGTGACGGCCTTCCTCCTGACGGCCCTCAGCGGTGCTCACCCAGCCTCTATCTCCCCCACTTCATGCTCCTCCCCCCCCCTCCACCCCGCATGCCCCACCCCCTCCCCGCAGCCCCTCAAAACCAACCGGACTTGCCACGCGTTTTCACTCGCAGCAAAAAACGTACATCACTTAATTCAATTAGGGCTCATTAACCTTTAGCGCATTAGCCGCGAAAGCTTGCGAAAGAGCGCGTACGTGCGCGGTGGTTAGCACAGATATGCGCGAGCGCGCATGTACGCGTGTTTGCACATGAGCACAATGTAACGCGAAGACGTTTGCGTTCGTTCGAGGTTAAGTGGCTTCGAGTAAGCGGTAATCAATGCTGCACTCTGCCAACACCGCGGTAGCAGGAGGGGTACTCTTAGGCTACGTGCGCACACGTGGGACGACCGATAACTCCGTGCGCGTGTGCGGTAAGGAGTGCCCTGAACCCACCGACCCAAGTTCGATTCCTGGCCATGGCTAACATCATCTAACGTCAGCCCCCTAATGGCAAACTAATTCCGAGTTGCAAGCCGGTGGTGCCGAGTCACCTTGTGCAACACAGGGACAGCTGCCGCCCCGGGGTGCCCTTTTATGGTGCCTCGGGACCTTATGTCAATTATAACAATAATTCAGGCGCTTGATAATAAAAAAAATATTCATAACATGCATTGTTGCTTGAAGCATTTAGGCAACGCCACACGAACGCATACAACTGCCATAAAACCGCACCCAACATGCGGAACGAAGGATCGGCTCCCTGCCCGACGGAGCAGCTACTCACTGGGTGGGCATGGTGAGGCTCGTCGGCTGCACCTTCATGCGCCGCTTGGCCGTGACGATGATCTGCGCCGAGGAGCGCTTGAGCGACTGCTGGTTGAGCAGACTGCACGCCAGGTTCGCGTGCCACTGGAGCTGTGGACACAGAGGGGCGGGCGGGGGGGGGGGGGGGGGGGGGGGGGGGGGGGGGGGGGGGGGGGGGGGGGGGGGGGGGGAACCGGCACACGCGATCGCCAACGCGCACGGGACGACACGCGCCTTCGATTAGCACGGTCGGCTATGCACGGTGCGAAGGAAGGTCAACTTGCATACACACGACCCGACACTGCACGGTCAGAGTCTTAATGAATACGAGCTAACGCATTTCCAGGACTGGAGCTGGGTTGTAAGCGCTTGGGGAGAAAAGGAACGAATGCGAGGGGATACCGAAGTGGTGCAGCGGTGCAGCCGACCAACCTTCCCTCATTCGTTCACAAAGAGAATGAACATTGTGAGAGACGTCATGGCTATGGGCAAATATGAAGAGAACAACGTTCTGCGTTGCCACCTATACGGATGCACACTTTCGTGGATCCACCTATTGTCTTTGCACACCGATATTTGCAAGCGGCATTTGTTCAAGTGAGCAAACGCTCGACCGGTTTCAACCTTCTGGGTCCCTTCAGCAGAGTTGGGCCGAGAACGGGGGTGGCTACGGGGGTGGCTACGGGGTGGCTGCTGCCGAGCACCGCCTGCACCCCCCCCGCCCCCCCCCCCCCCGTGTCCTCGACGTCGGCATGGACGGCTATGTCAGAAGGTCGACGCGTTTTTTTTACGACGGCAATTAAATCACCGCGCGAGTTTGAATGGCGTGATAATTTGACCCCAGACGGTTTACACGGCGGGTTTAATAGCGCGAGGCACGGGTGCCTGACCCCCCCCCCCTCTACTGACATGGAGAGGGAGCGGCTGGCGTGCGGAGGGGGGCCCCCGGTGCCGCCAGGCGTGCCGACGAGCTAGCGCCGCTGCTGGTGGCGTGGTGGGGGGGGGCGGAAACGACGAATCAATGGCAGCCGCTCCGAGCCGCTCCGAGCCGCGCGCCATTCTCTGTGCACTGCTGGATGAAGGGTTCTCCGCGTTGACGCCGCTCCGCCCGCTGCGCCGTGCGGCTTCAAGCCAAACTTATCGTTGTCAAGCGCCCCACCGATTTTGCCATTCGAGGAGCGCGGTTTTCATCACCGGTGTCAATTCATCAATGAGAATTGTTTCGCGTGCTCGTGATAATTTCTCTTGACAGCTCTTGTTCAATCCACTGTGGGTTGAATGGTTTCCCCGTGCCGTTTCGGTCACGGCGGTTCTTCGAGAGTACTTCACCACGCTGGTCGGTGCAGTTTGACTCAGGAAATGGGGGCCCGGGACTGGTTCAGATATCACTCTCTACTGACGCTAGTGCGGACCACACAACAAAGGCTGGATTTGCTGGGTTCACATCGTAGTAGCGCTATTGCACCACCACTCTACCCTGCGTTCACGATACATGCGTTGAATCGTGCGCGGAGGCATCAATTATTGAAAATGTATGTAAATTAGACGCATTTGTAATGCAACTTACGGAACAGGAAGGAACAAATGAGAAACAAACACAGGTAAGACAAGAAGCATTAATTCCTGAATTGAATCACAGCTCCGAGCTGTGTCAATTCATCAAATCGCAGTGGTGGGGTGGATAATTGCCAGCCCAATGACCATGTGCTACGGTCCGTGACTTACGAGTGAAGTGCAAGACTCAACAATAATTGCACACACACGCACACATCTGAAAGGTGTTTAACACGGCAGCGACTACGACACGACAGCCGGCACCTTTAAAATGACCGTCTCGCTTAGAAACACAACATTTTATTGTTTTTGCTCGCGGGGGAAACACAGGGAATAAAAAAATATATATTCCGCGTCACGGATTCGATCAGAAAAACGCAACGGTACACAATGTTCCACCCCCCTTTTTATTTCTTAAAAAAAAAACAAAGAGGCACACTTGGGCTCAGACAGATTCCTTGCAAGAGGTTACCACTACTGTCGTGCCGTTTTGTGCAAATGAGGGCATCGGAGGTCGTAAGAGGCTATTACTTCGGCTGCTAAACAGCCGCACTAAATCCACATTAACCCAATGTTGAAACGAGGGAGGGGTGGGGGAAAGGAGGCGGAAATAAATATGCTCACCAGTGCTCAAACCTTAGCGGCTCAACAACCCCGTTCGGTGACCCCCCTGAGCGGATCTCCCACGCCTCTCTGGACGACTCGCCCGACCAAACTGCTACCGCCCCGTGCCCACCAACGCGCCTTAATTGCTTCCTGGCCGGCGTCTGTGGCCGCGAGGTTAATGAGGCGAGCGTGTTGTTAGCGACGTGCAGGCCCACCGGCATTTTGCAGGGAAAGCCCCGTGGCCCCGTGAACGTGCCAACGCGGGAGAGCCTGCATCTCTAAAAACGATTAAACTACGCCATTTTTTATTTTACCAGGTAAGGCCCACTGAGCTATAATAGCTCTTTTTCAGAAGCGACCTGGCTATCAGAAATGATAGCTCAACGAGGTGGCTTATCCCGTGGTAATTAATAACAGCCAAATACTCTAAGCGCACGTTGATTCAAAATGTGGAGGGGAAAAAAATCGGGAGGACCCGGAGAAAAATCCATGCAAGCACGGGGAAAAAACGCAAACTCCAAATATACAATTTAACACGTAGGCTTTCGTGACCAATATCATCCATAATAGAAATGTGGTTGTACTCAGATTGTAAATGTTGTGGCTTGGCTCTCCAACACACAACCGTTGTGCTGTAGTAGTGACGAATTGGCACGTTCTGTTTACGAGTTGGCTGTGTCGGGTGGTGGCGGGTTTTAACGACACATTTTAATATTTAAGCGAATAAAAAAAAAAACCCTATTCCCAATATACAGCAGGCATCAGGGTCGGGATCGATCCCACGGCCGCCTGCATACCAGGCGAGGGAGATAACATTTCGCCATCGTAGCGCCGCGCAGCGCGGGTAAAGTATGTCAGGCGGAAAGCGTAACGGACGAGTCGATCCCGCAATCCGAGTGGACCCGTGCCCTCGCGCAAGGCTCGCGCTGAATTCCGTGCGTTAGGATGATTTGCAATGCATCCTCAAACATATGCTAATTCTATGCTAATTATATTCCCATTGCACGTATGTTGAATTGTGTTTGCTAGAATCATTTATTTTCGGTTTATGGAAATGTTATGCTTATTAAATGCGAACGTTAAGGCTAATGGTTGCTAACGTTTAGCCTAATGGGGCAAACAAACCTTTACAAATGACATAAAATAAATTCAATATAATATTCACAATACATGGACAGAGAATTGTTCTTTTCTATTCATGTATGCTTATATACATTATACTATTATGAAATCTATACATTTCGCATCTCTGCGAAAACCCAGAATCGATTCATTATTAGAATCGTGAGAGTAAACTATAATGCATCGACTTCTCAAGAGAGTGCTCATGAGACACTGTATGTTGGCACCGTGGGGAGCATAGGTCGTGCATCTGCCGTCTGTCAACCAACCCATGGAACCTGGATGTGTCCCCTGACCTCCTGCCAGAAAGCCTTCTACACCTTCACGTGGCCTCAAAGGGCACCTAGCCTGGCACAAGCACCGTGGTGATGTCACCGCCACTTAGTGGCGAATGGCAGTTCGTTGTTGTTGTTGATGAAACCAGAAGCCCCCTGCGTGGCCGATGAGTTGAGGAAAAACAATTATTTGTCATACGGAGAGACAGATACATGTAGACATATTTTGTCTGAATATCGACGTCTGACAGAAATTATTTGGTACTGCTGCATTGCCAGTGGTACACAAGCACAAATAACAAAACAACTCAACACATTTGCCCGATGTTTCAGGCAAGGGCCCTTCTTCATGGATGTGCTATAATGAAGGGCCAATTCCAGAAATGTTACCTATTGTATATTTTCTTTTAAAGCAGTCTTATTGACGAATGTGTTGTATTTCATAAAGTGAAGTGAATCATTAAAATCCCCATTCATTATGTGCATAGATGCACCGCCCTTTATTTCAATCCACTGCTGGATGAGGGCCTCCCCGTGTCGTGTTTGTCATGGGGGTCATTCAACCATACCTCATCACACTGGTCAGTGCACGTTGATGAAAGTGGGGAGAATGTGGCAGCATAGAAGCTGCCCTCTGCCGCCCACGACCGTGGTGGTCACCCACCCAAGCGCTATCGGTCATAGGCCGTCGCTTACGACCCAGGCGGAAAACAGGGTCACACTTCAGGAACGAAGTTTCAAGGCGACAAAGTTGCTCCGTGACTTCGCATCACTTCACCGCATTCTGGCAAGTCAGTTGCCTGGCGATGGCGAAAGAGGGACCTATATTAAGGAACGATGCCAGCCGACCGGTGTTTGTCAAAAGCATTAATCTCATCGTGTCCTCACGCACGCACGAAATGCGAGTCGCGCAAATTGGCCGCGCGCCCACGTTATTTTTGAGAACATTTACAGTTCTTAATTAAACTGCCAACACTTTCCGAAGATGTGTTTTTTTCTCCCCCTAAACCCCCGTTGGAGATTTTGTACGCTCTGATTAACGGGGGCATCACAAACTAGCAAAAAAAAAGTGTGCAGCCAGCAACCTTGGCCCACGAGAGGCTCTAATGGTAATACACTAAGACGCTGCTCCTGATATGGTCAAATTGCCGTGTCCTCTCAGTCGTGTAACCATCCCCGACCCTGAGACAGTCAAACAGGCTGGGCACGTTGCCTGCCAAAGCGGTCAAATCTAAACGAGGAGCGATGTGTGGGGAAAAAAAAAATCGATTCCGGTTACCCAAATGCCTGTGAACTTTGGTTATTTATACCCAGGGCACTGGAATTACTGGGGCAGCCTCAAGAATCAAAGCGTGAGCTCCAAGCAAATCTCAACATCTCCAAGGTCCCACAAACCAAAACTCCAGCGATTGTTGGAAGCACAAAAGGAATCCGTGATTTGACACGCAATTTGCTACTGGCCACCGCAATGTGGTATGGGTCAGTCCCGTGAACCTCCTCGTCACCGAGCCTTGGACACTTCACGTGGCATCAAAGTGCACCTGGCCCGGCACA